CCATTAGGGCTGATCAGACTTCAAAGATAAGTGAAGTTGTCAACGCGTTCGACTACTTCACTCCCTATCCTTAGTTCAGGTGTTGATGCAGACCAGTCCTGAAGCAACAACTTGCATTTAGAGGGAGAAAAGCGCATCCCAAACATTCTAGCATTGTTGCTCAGTGCTACCAAAAGACTCTGCATTTCATCAGCGTCTCCACCATACAGGACTATGTCATCTGTGTATTCTAAGTCGATAAGTGGACCTCCTGGTAGGAGATCAATACCCGAGAATTCAGTCAACGAGAACGTTATTTCCATCAGTAGGTCTATGATCAAGTTAAACAAAAAAGGAGAAAGTGGACAGCCCTAACGGACACCACCACTTGAGGTTGCAAAAGCAGATGACAGTTCGCCATAAGCTCTGACTCGACTAGTAGTGTTCGAGTAAAGAGCTTTCACAAGGTTTATGTACTTCTGAGGTATGCCTTTCAATGACAGACACTGCCACAGAACCTCTCGGTCAACAGAGTCAAACGCTGCTTTTAAATCAAGGAAGACCACTATTGTCGGACGCCGGTAAGTACGCCTGTGTTCTAGAACCTGACGAATGGTGAATATGTGGTCGATGCATCCACGACCAGGTCTGGAGCCAGCCTGATTTTCAGGTGTTTGCAGTTCACGAGTCTTAGTTAGGCGTCCAAAAATTATTGAGGCTAGTATTTTAGATACTATATTAGTCAAACTAATCCCTCTGTGGTTGTCACAGGATGATTTTGACCCTTTCTTATATATTGAGACAATCAGTGATTGCAACCAGTCAGATGGGATAACCTCTAACTCCCAGATTTTAGCTAAAATATTAGTCAACCTAATCGCTAAAACTAGACCACCATCCTTAAAGACCTCTGGGGCCAATCCATCTGGACCAGCTGCCCTTCCTCGTTTCAGATTAGCTATAGCCTTTTGAACTTCAGTTAGAGATGGGGGACCTACTTCAATGTTCCATTCATACTGTCTGGGAATAGAGGGTAGTTGTAAAGTAGCTGGAGGCCAGCTAAACTGCTCCTTAAAATGTTTCGCCCATCGTTCTAAACGTCTGGACTGGGAGCAGATGAGAGTGTCGTCTTTTTCCGAAATAGTCTGACTTACACTTGATTTATTAATTCCAGTTTCTTTTATTAGTCTGTAGAGTTGTCTTGTGTTCCCTATAGCCGCCGCCTTTTCCATCTCTTTTGCTTTCGTTGCCCACCACTGCTCACGATCGTTCCTTAGACTTTTGCTTAACCTAGATCTGATTTGTTTACGCTCTTCATCGTGTTCAGAACCTGATGGGATGAGTTTGCGAGAATCCATCAGTGCAATAGACCTTGAAGAAATCAATTGGTTCTTTGTAACCCTTTGGTTTAAATCACTAGTAGATGTCACTGCTGTTTCCACAGCTGCTTGTATGTCTTTCCAATCAACATCGGGGTCAGCCTCGTTTTCAGAACTACCTAAGTGCGACCTCAGTTGTTCCTGGAACCTACTTTTGGTTTTCTCATTACTCAATTCGGTTCTAATGAGTCTTTTTTGTGTGGCTTTTTTGCGTCCAGTGAGGCGCAAGCAGATGCGTGCCCGTATTGGGGCATGGTCGGAGTCCAAGCAGGTACTCCAGAATGAGCGACAATCTTCTATCGACCCTCTCCAACGATGACTGATGGCAATATGGTCTATTTGAGTCCATCGTTAATTTGGTGCAGGGGGTCGCCATGTTAGACGATATCTCTCCTTATGCTTAAAATTTGTGTTTGCTAAAAATAAACGATTGTCTGAGCAAAGTTGCAGCAGACGATCACCATTATCTGTTCGCTGTGCCGGAATACTAAAATACCCACATAAATGTCTTTCTGTTTCGTTTAAGCTACCTACCTGGGCATTAAAGTCGCCTGCTACGAGTACTATGTCTGAACGTTTAGCTTTCTGAAGAAGTTCAGAGAGTTTTCTGTAAAATTCATCTTTCACTTCATCCGAACTGCAGTCAGTGGGAGCGTAGGCAGAAACGACGAAAAGGCAACGACGTGTGTCCCAATCCTTTCGAGTTCTTACGGAGCCGTTTAGCCGAACAGCGCATAGACGACTGTTAACGGGGATCCACTCTAATAGCGCTTGTTCCGCCCTCATGTTTAGTGCTATGCCTACACCTGCCAGTCCACGAGAACTAGCCATCGGGTCGCCAGATACACGAAGGGTGTATCTCGTCGGCACTCCGTTTTGCCGAGGTGAGGTCAAGTGAATGACCACACTAGGATCCTGTATGCGTGTTTCGGAGACACAGCATACATCAATGGTACGAGATTCTAAAGTTTTAGCCAAGGAAGCCTGCTGACCGATTTGGCATAGTGTGCGTACGTTGAAGGCTCCAATGTGTAGTTTGGAGCGGGCTTTCAGTAGACCTGGGACAGTGTTTTGCGCACTAGAATCGTTGGCTGTGGTGACACTTGAGGAGGAAGCCGAAAGAGAGAGTTTAGATTTGAAAGTCGATGTAAGAGGAATAATAGGAATTGAAGAGGTAGGTTGATTATGAATACAGTGGTCTTGAGTGCTGTTAGAGGTATGAGGGCGGTTATCACTTCCCGGTTGCCCACACCGTGGAAGGGTTCTGCTGGAGGTACCTGAAAACGAAATTGAATTAGAGGTGGTCATAGTGACCTGAGAGCGTGACCGCAGTGCCCAAGGGACAGCTGCTTGAGGTCAGTCACACACGACCTTTTTATGAGTAATTTTTGTGTTAGCTCCGTACTTGTTGAGACCTTACCGCCGGAGACGGGTATCCATGGGATAAGGTGAGGTGTGCATTTTTAGGGTCGACCTTTTCTAACCCCTCCCCTTCTTTTGGGAAGGCAGCATCGCTGTTATGCTGGTTGTCTGAAGGAAGCACCTTACTGCTGTCACACCTCTGTACAGTCAGCAGTACGACTTCGCCTTCGGACCTTGGATTTGTTGATTTTAGTCTTACCGCTCTTCAACCGACCTGTCTGGCGTGGTAGGACCTTGAGGAACGGTTGTTCCAGGCAGTATAGCTCAGTTGCTTCATCACGATAAACAAGCCCGACCACCACGTCAAGGTAGCAACAACGGTCAGGATTAATTACTATCTCCCTAACTCATAGCCACATTTGGCTGAATCTTTTGCAAATGTTGTTTCCCATTTTATGGTTCGATGTGGTTTGTTTGGTTTGTACATAAATCCAGTATGTTTGAAACAAATGATTCATATCGCAGAGGCTGAGATTGGTGTTCTGGACTTAACTGACTGGGCTAGGCAGGAAGTAGGACCGATAAATACTCTAGACTACTCGTACTTGTTTTATACGTCATTGATCCGATCAATAGTTCACTGTTCTCTAATTTGCGGTATCATCACATTGTACATTAACAGGACACACAGGTCACAAGTTATAACAATTGCTTACTTTTAATTTTATTGACTTCATAACTCATAACAATCAATTATTATTTCTTAACTCATTTAATCAGAACAAAATTTGTGTTGTTTTCCATTTTTTCAACAACAACAAACAAAAAAGTTTATCTCTCAATGTAAATTTTTTACAAGCAAACATACATTTGGAGATCTTTTTTTAATTATACTAGTTCAGTTCAAAGTATCATTTACAATTTGATAATGATTATTTGTAATATGAACAATAACAACAAAAAAAGTATTTTGTCATGAGTTACATTTTTTTGGTTATTAAATAGTAAAGTACAAACAACAACAATAACAACGAGAAAAAAAGAGAAATAATCGTGAATCAGGAATGATTTATATAATTAGTTGAAATTTTATCAAATAAATAACTGTTCAATTTCATTGTTTTATTAAGAATAGAGAATTTTCTAAGATATTTATTTGTATTTATGCTAATTTGAGTTATGTATTTTTGTTTGTTTGTTTGTTTAGTTGTTTGTTTGTTGAATGGTGGTTACACATTAAATCTATGCTAAATCTTAACTGTGTAAAATATGTGTAGGATTTTTCGTTTTGATGATTCTCTAAATTATAAAATTCTGTGAACAAAAACTTGAAAAATATTTTATTAGATATAAATATCAGAAGGGGAGTTGGATATTATAGTAATTTGAATAGTTGAGATCATGAGTCAATTGAAAGTAGACTATCATGGAAAACCTGGAAGTACTTGACGACCGTTTTGTTCTATTGTGGGAGTCTTGTTGTAAGATGACATTGGTGGATGTGTCGCTCAATTTCATGGATTAGTTGTAGTTAGTACATTAACACCATTGGATGCCGGCTCAATAGTTTTAGTGGTTAAGCGCTGGCGCGCGAGACTGATACGTCCTGGGTTTGGATCTCGTGAGGCGGGATCGTGGATGCTCATTGCTAAGAAGTCTCACAATAGGACGAAACGGCCGTCCAGTGCTTCCAAGTTTTCTATGGTGATCTATCTTCAACGGACTCATGATCTCAACCATTAAGATATAAATATGTTTATAATATAATCCTAGTATTTAGAGAGGTATAAGAAAGGTTACTTTTGAAAAATTACATCCCTCATCTTACTCCAAGGATCTCTAATTATAAAACGAACGCATTATAAAAAGGGTTTTGTGTAGCTGCTCTCAAATAGTTTTTCCCCTTGAGCTTCATGGTCATGTTCTGATGGCACCGAAATCAATATTAGTTCAGTTTCTGTTTAACATGCCTTAAAATGAATTATCATATCACGGTTAGGGCAACTAGGAACTGATTCCTTCAAACCTTTGTTATCTCTTCATATTTCTTCCATCTACATTGATGTTGCTACTTATGAGTAGTATTATAGCAACTAATGAATTTCGGGCTACCAATTTGTCTAGTTGGCACATGTTTTCATTATTTCTTTTCATCTAAATATTGAAATAGACTGTTGTAGCTTCATAATTTTCCTTCTTCAACTCCAAATTATGTGTTAAATACTAGTTCATTATTTCTGTTTATATATAAATTATTATTATTTCGGTCTTATGTTCCAGTTGTTCGGAGCCCGGAGCTTTATACAACCGTCGCCAACTGACAGCTCGTGAAGTATTTCAAGAGATGGTACTTCAACGAATAAGTCAGGTATATTGTTTGTTGTAAATTTCAAAGTCTCTTTCTTTGTGCCATCGAAAAGCTAAAGTACTACGTTAATAGAGCTGTATAACTTTTAGACTTATCACAACGCGTAGTTTGAGTATAAATTATGCACCGGTGTACAACTGAGTGAAACTGGATCGAACTGTCATGGATTGTTAGATCCCTTAAGATTACAGGTACACCTTGCTAACAAGTACCAAACAGCATGAAACCTAGGTCCAGTTTTCCCTGTCGTGTACCTCTAATTACCATCTCATCTCAACATAGTGAACACGATATTGAATCACCCAGACTAGTTGACCACATTGCAACTTGGTCGATAGAATTCGGTCTGCACTAAGAAGGATCTGACAGATATGACATTTGTCACTAACCAGTTATCAACCAATTTTAACCAGGTGTAAAACGTTATGACATGGCAAAACATTCAACTAAACATATTTTAGTCCCAATGCCTTTATCATCAATATTTTCTCAGTGAACACTGAGGTTAGTTTACTCACAGTCGATACTTAATTCAAATTTTAGACTACTATCATAATTTATTCGCTTAGTATATGTGATGAGTTTTTTTAAACTCTGTTTCCTGTATTCCCGTTTTATTTATGTAATATTTTAAAGTGTACCTTTGGTCTTTATTACGCAAATGTTAAATGTTTATTTTTAAGTATAATAAACAAATGTTAGTGTTGTATAAACATAATTAATATTGATCATATAATGCTTCAGTGTTTTAGATAAATGTCGGTTAACGACTATCAAAATCTAGGGATGTATACAAACGCTTAGGTAAAACATCTGTTTACTTATCAAGGGGTGAGTATACTGACCAACAATTCCCTCTGTATTATTTAAGTTTTAGAATAGTAGTTTTTTGAAAGCAGAAGGAATATGTAATCTATAAGTCTTCGAAATATTATTTATGTATAGTGGAACGAAAGTGTGATGTATTTTGTGGTTAAATGTACGGGGGATGTTTGACAAAATACTAAGTTTTATCGTGATGCTATAAACTTTCATTAATGGATATGGTTAGGATACATACTACGTTAGACTGGCCACAATCATTTATCTCGACATACAGTGCTAACTGATATAGACTTGTGTTGGGAGAATGTTACTGGTGAGGATAACAAGATACGGCATCAATCCCTGAAGTGTTCGGGTTTTAAACTGGCTTATGTCGGGAGGTAAATTTTCTGGTTGTCGTATGAAAAGTACCACTAACTGGCTTGCATACATTTACTCGCTATTCTTTCAGTTGAACCGTCATTTTCGAACCACATTTCTCATAGAAACCTTACTTACGCGTGTTACTCCTCATGGAGGAACATAGGCTACCAACCGGCATTCTCCATCCAACTATGTCTTGAGCAATCCTTTCCACTTGTTTCTAATTGCTATTCATCCTTTTCATGTTTGCTTACGATTCTCGGAGCAGAGTCGAATAAGTTTCCATAATGTCCTCCTATCTAAACTGTCAAGTGCTCTCTCATAATCAAGAAAGTTGATGTATAGTGAAAAACTCCATTCAACTGATTGTTCAACGATGATCCGTAGTGTCATGATTTGGTCTGTGCAAGATTGATCCTTACGAAATCCAGTCTGTTGATCTCGAAGCTGGACGTTTACTGAGTCTATCAGCCGGTTCAGCAACACTTTGTTAAAAAACATTCCTGCTACTGACAGTAATGTGATGACTCTGTAGTTTTCACATTTGCTTAGATCTCCTTTCCTTAGTATCTTGATGAGTTATCCTTCATTTCAGTCTGTCGGTATTCGTTCCTCCTCCTAAATCTTCCTGAATAGAACGTGGAGTATGTTTACAGTTACTTCTATGTCTGACTTCAGTACTTCAGCTGGTATATTATCAGGTACTGCTGCTTTCCCACTCTTGATTTGTCTGATGGCTATGAGAGTTTCTTCGATCGTTGGTGGAGTGACATTTATAGGAAGGTCTGTGTGCTGCTTCGATATCCGGTGGATCCAATGTAGCTGGTCTATCTAAGAATTCCTCGAAGTATTCTACTCATCCGTTCCTGTTCTTGAATCTCCGTGATTGTCTTTCCATTTTCTGTCATTGACTGGTCTCTCTGGTTTACTATATTTACTTGTCAGTTTCTTCGTCGTGCCATATGGTTGTTTGATATTTCCTTCTCTTGCAGCTTTTTCCACTGTTGTTGTTAACTCTTCCACGTATTTCTGTTTGTTAACCCTAATGTTCTTCACTTGCTTGTTTGCTTCTGTGTATCCAGTTTGTACCTTGACTTTCTCTGCTCTTGTTCGGCTGTTCTTAGTTGCCGTCTTCTTGTTCATTCTTTCTTTGATCTTGTTCAGTGTTTTGATCGAGATTCATTCCTTATGATGATGTTTCTTGCGACCCAGAACCTACTGACACGTTGACGTTAATGCTTCTTTGATCCATTTTCAGTTGTCCTCCATATTAGTTTCATCTTCTTTAAGCAGATCTTGTAAGGCTTGGAACCTATTGTCGAGAACTCTCTTGAGTTGGTTCAGTTTGTTAATATCTTGTAGGAAGGCTGTATTGAACCTGTAGTGTCTGTCATTATGTTAAGCCCAAATACCTTATTATTCTAACTTTCGGACAGCCCATTCTATTCATTCTACTTGAGTCACATTCTGACCTTGTTAATTATTCGCTTATCAATATTTTGACCGTCTTTATATGAGCGCGTAGGTGTATGTACACTTCTTATCCCATTACTCATCACATGTCTGTAATTTATTTTTGTGGGCTTATAAATATTGATTAACTCTTTGTTAAGTGGAGAGTTGTCTTACCAGCCATCTCTACCGCGCGCCAATTTAGCTTCGCTTTCTCATCTTCGCATCGTTCCTCCGTTCGTTTGTCTAATCAACAATTATACAAAATATATGCATTCAAAACTCCATTCTCGTTATTTGACTTATTTGATTCCGTTATTAACTAACGCGATTTAAGTCAATGATTATATACGAGGATAGGTGATAGCGATCATTCATACGATCAAATTGGAGTCAGATCTCGCGCCACTAAAAACCTTTGTAGTACTGTTTGTCCAGTGTTTCTTTAGCTTCAGTTTCATCTTGGTAACCACCGGTTGGTGGTGATCTGAAGCTGTCAGCTCCTCTTCTGGTTCTCACATCTCCCATGTTCCTTCTGAATTTTTTATTGATACAAATATGATTGATCTGATTATGTGTAGTGTGATCCGGTGAGACCTATATATCTTTGTGTGTACATTTGTGTGGGAATATTGTGCCGCCTATAACCATTTTATTGAATACACATATATTTGGAAATCTCTCACCATTCTCGTTCCTTTCTTCCAGTCCAATGGGTTTCAATGATTCGGAGAACCGTCAAGTTGTATCTCCTCATTTCTGTAGCTATTTTACTGGTCCTACCGGTCTCCCACTTTGTCCAGACGTTCCATGTACTTATAAAAATTTTTGATATGGTTGTTAATAAGGACATCGACCTTGTGACAGTGAAAGATCTTGGATTCCATCGCGAGACGTCATAATTCTTCCTTGAACTAGGAGGATAGAGTTTAATTTCTTTATTGTGGTTAGTGTATTTTTAAGCGAGGTTGTTTTCTACGGGATGTGGTGGTCGACACTATGCCCAACCCTCCTCTTTTGACCGATCTTTGGACCGGCAGTAGACCAATGGTTCTCCAACTAGCATCAGTTTTTGTGAAAAATAGTTGTTCAAGTAAACTATTTAATTGTCCCTGAAAGCTACAATGCTACACTCTGACAACAGTGTAAGGTTAGATATCATTAGACTAACTCATTTTGAAAGATCTTCAGAATAATGATGTAAAATTTGCTCAACAAATACATGTAAACGAGGGCTGAAAGGTTCTGAACACTGCAAGGTTAGAGAAAACCCCACTCACGATCCCAGTTTCATTGAAAGATATCAATGATCATAAATTATTTTTTATTAAGTATAACTTCAAGAGTAAACTCTAAGAGATGTTATCATTAATGATAATGGGTTGAGGAGAAACATGTTCTCATGAAGAGAGAACTGTTAAAGTCTAACCTCATGTGCCCTAAACTTTGTAGGATAAACTTTCATAACCTCAGTTTTTGTATTTATTGGGCACATTACATATAGTTTATATATATCATCCAATTCCTTATCAGAATTTTTTGAATCTTTAATTTCAGGGCTTTCAATTATGTCATGAAGTTGTAGTACATAATCCGACTAATTCTAATAATGTGGAACATCATTCTGTTACCAGTATTAATACATCTCCTACCACCATTATACAAAATGACAATCTTCCAAACTGTTCAAATAATAAACCTAAAACATTGTCTGTAATAAAACAAAACAATGATCGACATACTACATCGAATTCTCCACATACAACATATCATTCACGAAGAATCTCAAATATTTCTACTGCTGTTATAGATACTACTATTAATAACAATATTAACAGTAGTCCTAATTATTTTCCAACTGATAGAAATACTACTAATACTACTCAATTTACAAAATCAACAAATCGATGTTTTCCAACTCGTTTATCATCAAAGTTTCCTACAATCAATAATAATGCTCAACCATCGAGAGGATCGAATGTATCATCATCAATATATAATGGACGTGTTCTAGGTGTTGGTCTAACTATAAATTCATCGAATAGAAGTGGAAATCAATCAAATTGTCACAATGGTAGTCGTACTAGTAATAATAATAGTAATAAGAATAATAATAATCATAGTAATAATAGAAATGTTACCACAACCATTAAATCTATAAATCGTTATACAATGAAAAAATCTGATAATAATACTACTACAAATACAATGTTTAATTCATCATTATCAAAATTCGGTGATACCGATCAATTATTGAAGGTATTTCTTTTTTTTTCAAACTTTTTAATGCGTTACATGTTCAGTTTCTTTCATTTAATACACATAAATTCTGTCACAATACTAACTCGAGTCACAAAACCCCTTCTGATACTAATCAATATATGCTCACTAGTGACTGGCTTCAAGAGGTACATCCTAGAGTTATAGTGAGAAGCATTGATCAGTGGAGTTCAACCGGACCAGTTGTGACATAGTAGCTCACTGAAGACAGTGGTGGGTGTCTCGCTCAATTTCGTGGATTAGTTGAAGATAGACATTAAGACCATTGGATGCCGGTTCTTAGTGGTCTTAGTGGTTAAGCGCTGGCGCGCGAGAGTTATAGGTTCTGGTCTGGAATCTCGCGAGATAGGATCGTGGATGTTCAATGCTGAGGAGTCTCACAATAGGACGAAACGACTGTCCAGTGCTTTTAGGTTTTCCATGGTGACCTATCTTTAATTGATTCATAATCTCAACTATTGAAATAAAATATGATTATGGAAGAATAAAAGAGTGAAACGGGGAAGTATAATCAATCTTTAACTGGCTTCTATTCTGAATTATATGTGATAATGTCTCAAACTATTATATTCCACCATGTCTATGATTCCAACTTGAGAGTTATGATAGATATTATATCTAGGACTTATATTTTTCTTGCTATACCATGTACAACTTGAACACTCGAACTCGAGAACCCTAAAAGTCGCAAGTTAAAAGACAGAAAACAAGAAGGAAGAAATTTTATTCCAAAAACAGTGTCAAGTATGGTACAAAACACTTAGGTATTTATAGTTTTTAGTAAAAACTAAATCATCATTACGGTCATTCAATCCTCTTGCAATGATTTTTAGCATTTTTTCCAATCGGGAAGCTGCATGTCAATATTCTGAAATGTTCTTTCAAAAGATGATTCGATGAAATCTTTTCAGCTCTTTCAGAGATTCCTTGAGTTTGCCGAAGGTCGTCCATACAATAGACTAACAGATTCTAGTCCTAAACAGCTTTCTTTCATATCATTAAACTGACCAAGTTTATCTTGAATAACTTTTATAATTCATACACTTTTATTTATTCCTCTTCACAAATTCTACTTACTAGAACGAGATAACTACATTTCAATGTGAGATAGTTTGTTAGTGCTTTAAACAATGAATTTTTCAGTCTTTTTTTTACAGTCATTTCGTACTATGCTCTAAGTACTTTATTTTAAGTATAATTATGTAATCTTATATTCTCATATATTCGTATCATGAACGGAGTTGCTTAAAATATAATATGATTAATTATAAATTATATATATATATATATATATATATATATATATATATATATATATATATATATATATATATATATATATATATATATATATTTGATTACTTAATGAATATAGAGATGAATAGGAAACGAACAGATGTTAATACGTGATACTACTATTAATAATAATGGAGGGTAGTTAAGATCATGATATGTTATGGGGTAGAACAGGTCACTTTGAAACATAGTGATCAGACCTCAATTGATAAACCCTCTAATGTGTACAAGTTTAAGCTAGTTTATTTAAATTTGTAGGTAGTTTTGAAGAGTAGTTCTGGTGAAGAGACTTTGTATACACTCTTTCTCATCCCTTAAACTATACGATTAAAGTCGCTTTATATCTTTCTTTCTACGAACTGATTCTTCCTTCCTGTACTATATCCTTATGTGCAATCTTTCTTTTATACATTACTACGATTGAAGTGACTGTTTCTATGAATCTGGTGTCCATCTTGTTGTGCTAATTAGGCAACTTGGACTGATGCATATATATGCCTAGTCCTACGTTGTAGCTGACTGACTGAGGAGACTTTGTCATAGTTAACGAAGTGTTTAAGTATATAGTATCACAAATTTTGCATTTAAAAGGTGAGAAACATCCCTAACATACTTGTGCTGTCATTCAAAACAATCAGAAGGCTCCATTTTGTCAACGTTTATACCAAACAAAACTACGTCATCTGCTTATTCTAAATAGAATGTCTTGGTAGTTAGATCAACCTTTGGAAAAGAATGATTTGTAAGACAGCATCTGTGACGTATTCGATTATATTTTGACTACATTTCATATTTTATTTGATAACAAAATTACTTACTACTCACTAAGTTAATTTTTCAAAAGGAAACATCAATTTCATATAGCGTAAAAACTAAGAAATGGTTAAATAACTTAGTTTATTCGAAAATTGCCTTAGTATATTCATTTCTTTTGTTTGTTTTTCTCTTGAAATATCACATACTATATTGATATATGGATATAACAACAAATAATTCTACTTTTTAAGACCTCAATTCAATAGTCTAGACATATTTGATAAATCTTAGGATTTTCTCTTCTATAAAACTAATAATCAATCATAATGTATATTTTTCATGTTAGTGAATAGTTGCCAAAGACACTAACGAGAAAAGAAAACTTTCAAGTGTTGTTTACTCCCTTTCTTTTTATCACAGTTTTTGAAACATGTTTGTGTTGTACAATGTCTTGAATAATAATAATGCATCATTACTTACTTACTTACGCGTGTTACTCCCAATGGGGTATAAGCTTCCGATCAGCATTCTCCAACCCACTCTGTCCTGAACATTCCTTTCCAGTTCTGTCCAATTTTTGTTGATTTTTCTTATGTCTGTCTTCATTTCTCAGCGCAATGTGTTCTTTGATCGTCCTCTTTTCATTTTGCCTTGAGGATTCCATGTGAGAGCTTGTCTTGTGACGTAGTTGAGTGCTTCCCTCATTATGTGTCCTATCCACTTCCAGTGCTTCTTCCTGATTTTCTCCTCCGCTGGAATCTGGTTTGTTCTCTCCCATAGTAGGTTGTTGCCGTTAGTGTCTGGCCAACGGATCCGAAATATTTTGCGTAGGCAACTGTTAATAAACACTTTTATCTTCTGGATGATGGCTTTCATAGTTCTCCAAGTCCCCAACCCGTACAGTAGAACTGTCTCGACATTTGTATTGAAAATTCTGACCTTGGTGTTAGTTGACAGCTGTTTTGAGTTTGAGATGTTCTTCAGCTGTAAATATGTTGCTCTTGCTCTGCGGATGCGCGCCTTCACATCTGCATCAGATCCACCGTGTTCATCAATGATGCTGCCCAGATATGTAAAGGTTTGTACATCTTCCAAATCCTCTCCGTCAATTGTTATTGGATTGGTGCATGCTGTGTTGTATCAGAGAATCTTGCTTTTCCCTTTGTGTATGTTGAGACCTACTGCTGCTACACTGATCGTCTTCTACTGAATTTGCTGTTGAGTGTGCGATAGAAGAGCCAGGTCATCTGTCAAGTCTAGATCGTCCAACTGTACCCTAGCTGTCCACTATATCCCATGCTTCCCCTCAGATTCTGAGGTCTTCATGGTTCAGTCAATCACCAGGAGAAAGAGAAAGGTTGAGAGTGAGCAACCTTGCCTGACACCGGTCTTTAATAATGCATCATGCAGACACATTATTTCATATTGTCCAAATTGAAATAGATTGTTATGATATAATGTTGTATAGATTGTTTAATTCAAAGATTCACTTTAGTTAGACAACTGTTGAATACCAGGACCATTGAACAGCTATTACGTTTCAGTAGCCCTAATTTGGAATTTTGAAGGCATAAGGAAAAGAGGAAGACACAAGAACACATTGGGTAAGGAATTAGAGGTAGACATCAAAAGAATGAATAGCAATTAGAAACAACTGGAAAGGAGAGCTTAGGATAGAGTTGGTTAGAAGATTCCTGGGAGTAGTCTTTGCTCCTCCATGAGGGATAACAGGCTTAAGTAAGTAAGAAAGTATGGAATTCCTCAATGGTGCATACTAACGAATCCACCGGGTATCAAACCTAAGATTTTCAAGCTTCACGGTTAGCGCCTAACTTTCAGGCTAATCAATTGTTGTTCAACGGTTTACGTTCCTGAATTTCGTTAGTTGTCGACACTATGTGAATATCATCTATTCTCATTGGCGATATATATCCCACACCCGATATAATTGTACACCAATAATCACTTATCATGGGAACTTAGGGAATTCCCTCTGTCGTTTGAATCATCTAGGTAGATTGACTAAATTTCGCATCTATGATAGTCAAGTTCTCAAGTAATTCTGAGCCCTAAAGTTAACAACTTTTTTCTTTTTCCATTGCAAGAATCTAACGATTATAAAAATGTCTGAAAAAAGTTAGTTATATATAGTGTAGAACCTGGCACATATATTCATTGGTTCAAGTTGCTATGTCACATTAGCACAGAAAGATAAAATTATTTCAAGACAAATCCTAGTGTAGTAAAGTTGTAATAGTATTATTAGTAGCAGAAAAGATTAGGAGTAGAGAGAAATCATAAAGAAATTTCGAGATTCAGGAACTATCATACGGACCTTAACCAAGTAGTGTACATCTATAACATGGCAGTCTAGTTGTCAGTAACGTCATGGACTAATGCCACTTATTGGTTTGGTTGCCCGTGTCTGTTTCAACATACTCCTACACTAACCATTATTGCCCGTTGAAGTAGTCGTTTATTGGGCATATGTAAGATATGAAACAATGTTATATGATGACCGTTTTTCAATATCTGTAGAAATATAAAGCAATCATATTTAATAGGAACGGTGACTAACAGCTGATGTTCAAACATTGCTCTATGCATTCTGGTTGTTGGAATAACCGGATAATAATATTCGGTCTCATCATGAAGAATGGTACGATTCAGGATTAACTACTTAATGTTAATGAGTGTGTAACTATTTTCATTATCATTTTTATCATGATCCTAGCGTGAATTACTTTTCATTCATCATTTCTTTCAACGTATTCAATGTTCATTGTTAAAGATTTAATTTTTTTATTAATTCGTTAAGTAGGTATACTTGTTGTAGCCACTTGTCTCTTCTATTTACTTTATCTCAATTATTTGTTGTTATTGAAATCAACTTGTTTACTCATTTAGGTTTGCATATATATATATAT